TTACTTAGAACTACCCATGAACCTTCAGTTGATCCTCCGCGGTTCGCGTCTGCAGACGTTTTTAAGGAAGACTAAGCGCGGCCATTCATTCAAGCTGGATGATGCATTGCGGTAGTTCTCTAAGTTAGGGTCCCTTTTAATTAGGGCCCTTTTTCAGAGGGGTGCCGTGCGCTTGTTTGGGGACCTAGAAAGGGACTGTAATATAGAAAACTAGTCATGATGTGCTTGGGGTTCAGGATTTGCAGGTCGGTCTGGTGTGTTAGGGATACTTCAATACGGGTCTTGAGAAGGTTTCGGTGTAGAGTTTGGTTTGTGCTTGAGGATTTCGGGTCTAGGGATTTGGAGTTACGAGTTCCTGGCGTAGGATTTGGTTCATGAGGGGCCGTGTTGCGCGTGGTGTCGAGTTTGAGACATCGAGGAGGGAAGAGGGCTCAGTGTTCAATCTGGGTAGTAAAGAAAGCTAAGAATATCAAGACACCGCCATATCAGCTCAGTGCCTCCCATCCCTAGACCCTAACCAGATCCCTCGCCCCTGAGCCCGAGCAAATGGAGGATTAGGAACGCGATGGCGAGTGCAGGCACCTATAATGAGCGGGTGTTACAAGACGTGCCATTTTTTCCGATTACCGAGACTCTGGATGTAGTCACTTCCCTGAACAGCTTCAGCTCATATCATTCATGTTGATAACGGTGGAAGTTAGGCTGTTGAGCGGCAAGACAGCTACTGTGCAAACAGGATTGGATGAAGATGTGGCAGCATTGAAAGTCCGGGCACAGACCGCACTGCACGTCGGAAAGGGGCGGCTCCTGGACTCGTTTGGAAGGTCTCTGGATGCAAGCATACAGATCAAGGATGCCGGGGTCAAAAACGGTGATGCACTGACCTTGCACATAAGCAATCTTCAAGTTAAGCCGTCTGGTAGAGCTTTCGCCGCCATTCTGGGAGATGGATCCGTCGTGACCTGGGGTGATGATCGCTACGGTGGTGATAGCAGTGCCGTGCAGGATCAGCTGAAGAATGTGCAGCAGATCCAAGCCACTGACTATGCATTTGCGGCCATTCTTGACGATGGATGTGTCGTGACCTGGGGTGATGATGTCAGTGGCGGTGACAGTAGCTCTGTGCAGGATCAGCTGAAGAATGTGCAGCAGATCCGTGCTGCTGAGTCTGCTTTTGCTGCCATTCTTGACGATGGATCTGTCGTGACCTGGGGTGAAGATCGCTACGGTGGTGACAGCAGTGCTGTGCAGGATCAGTTGAAGAATGTGCAGCAGATCCGCGCGTCTGTTAGGGCTTTCGCCGCCATTCTGGGAGATGGATCTGTCGTGACCTGGGGTGATGATCGCTACGGTGGTGATAGCAGTGACGTGCAGGATCAGCTGAAGAATGTGCAGCAGATCCAAGCCACTTTTTATGCATTTGCGGCCAGTCTTGTCGATGGATGTGTCGTGACCTGGGGTGATGATGTCAGTGGCGGTGACAATAGCGCTGTGCAGGATCAGCTGAAGAATGTGCAGCAGATCCGTGCTTCTCAAGCTGCGTTTGCTGCCATTCTTGACGATGGATCTGTCGTGACTTGGGGTGATGATGGCTGCGGCGGTGACAGTAGTGCTGTGCAGGATCAGTTGAAGAATGTGCAGCAGGTCCGAGCCTCTGGCTTTGCCTTTGCTGCCATTCTTAGAGATGGATCTGTCGTGACCTGGGGTTTTGGTGACTTCGGTGGTGACAGCAGTGCTGTGCAGAATCAGCTGAAGAATGTGCAGCAGATCCAAGCCACTGACTATGCATTTGCGGCCATTCTTGACGATGGATGTGTCGTGACCTGGGGTCATGATGTCAGCGGCGGTGAAAGTAGTGCTGTGCAGGATCAGCTGAAGAATGTGCAACAGATCCGTGCTTCTCAAACTGCTTTTGCTGCCATTCTTGCAGATGGATCTGTCGTGACCTGGGGTTATTATGCTGGCGGTGGTGACAGCAGAGCTGTGCAGGATCAGCTCAAGCAAGTGCAGCAGATCGAAGCCACTCCTTCAGCTTTCGCTGCCATTCTGGACGTTGGATCTGTCGTGGCCCGGGGTGATGATCGCTGACCTGTTATCGAGATGCCGACGAGCGGCTGGCAGCGGTCGTCTACGGTCCGAACTCTTCTCCCTGAAATGCTACTATCCCTTGTCATGCACTTGTTGCACTCCTGACCAATATATCAGCATCGGCATCTGAACAACTAGTAGCATAACATTCCCTTACTGTCCTAGACAGTATAATGCGCTAACATACAAAGTTGGGCAAAAACCTGACACCCTGAACCATAAATCCGTTTCCCATATGCGACGTACCGGACAACCTCGGCAAGCAGCCGTAGGCCATTTCGATCCATTCTCTTTGCGTCGCTAGACTAGAAGTTTCTCTAGTTACTCTAGTTCAGTTGTCATGCATGCTTAGCAGGTTTAAGGTATACACTCCAACCCAGCCCGAAACTGAACCGTTCAAAGATGACACCGGGCAGCCCAGACACTGTTTGAAGCCTCCGCTAAACTTCCACTCTCCAAAACCCAGCTTGCTAGCTCATTTTTGTGTCATGCTAGCCGTTTCCCACCCCCCTGTCCAACGCCATTCCAGAAAAAAGCTGATCCGTTAGCCCAATGACGACAGATCGAGGGCCCCAGGCTAGACCCTAAGTAGACGAGGAACTGTTGAGAAAGCGAATTCGGAGGGAGGTCGTCTTTCTCCGAAGTTGCTGGTGCGACTGGCGCACATAGGAGCCCTAGACCTTTTAGGGTTCAGGCTCAACGCACCCGAAGCCACTGAGCCCGAACTGTCAGAAGGAAGAAGTTCCCGCATTGCTCTGAGGCGATGGCAACTCCGATTTGGCACCGTACTTCGCGGTTTATTTGGAGAATCCGGATGGTAACATGCCGGCAACAGTTTTGCTGGAGATGTACTGTCAAACAGCTTAGCCTCACTACGCATGATTGTGGCCGTTGGTACCGTCTTTACGACGATCATTGACGATAGCTGTCGTTCTGACTACATTCGTATCGGTAGTAGTAGCAGTAGTAATTAGTCCTGCTCAAGTTGCCCCGATACTGCTATCACATACACGTAGCTTTGAGCCGTTAGGCATTTTGGCTTGTGCTTGGCAGTGGTAGCACCTGGCTTCGAGCCATGCTGAGGGGTGCCGACTTCGTGACACAAACTGGTTGGGCTCGGAGCCGTCAGGCCTTGAGCCCTAAATTTCATAGGCCAAGCCACGAAGCCCGAGCGGATGTAAGCGCTTGCTCTGCGGCGTGATGGATTGGGTCGTTCAGGGTTCACGGAGGAACTTTCATGCAGAATGCTCTACAATTCGTCACGTCGAGCACCTCTGTTGCTGACTCTATTTGCCACTCTCTTCTTTGTTGGGCTGGCTCAGTGCAGCCTTAAGCCAGGCGACTAGGCTTTTATGGCAGATCAGACTTCTCAAAGTTGCCGGGCTCCAGAGACTCCGGACCCCGAGTTTGCTTTGCCCTAAGCTACCGATAGCCCTTTCGGCAGCCTTGAAACGAAGCCAGACACTCGCCCAGGCAGCTTGAGTTTGGGCCTGCCCGGCCTTGTCTTACGTGTTCGGGCGCAAGCAACCCACGGGCCAAGCGAGTTTAGGGTTCAGGAAAGGTCAGCATGGGCTTCACCAAGACATCTTGGCGCAAACCGAAGTGATTGAGTCAGGAGAGTTCTGGGAAGATCAAGTCAGCGTCTACGTTAATGGAGGTTTGTTTGTGGGCTTCAAGCGGCCTTAGAGGTCCCAAGCGGGGATGCATGGACTTCGACATGCTCGGGGTGCTGTTTCCTGCCAGGTTTCTGCAGCAACAGTGCAGCACGTGTAACCTGTATCCCTCGCCGTCGTCCTGGTTCGCATAAGTAGTTGATTGAGGGTTCTGACATTCCGTCACCCAGATTGCCACTTGACCCTGCGACTTGATTGAACCGTTGAGCTCTGTACCCCGTGTAGACTGCGGGTCCTTAAATCCTACAAACGCTAACTCCTAAACCGCGAACCCCGAAGCTCCAATTTTCTAAAACCCCAAAAACCCTGAAACCATAAGCCCTGAAGCAAGTCTTCCAGCAACCCTGATATATATATATATATATATAATTAACCATTATAACAACAGCAGCTTTGGCAGTCTTTTTCTTGCCAGGGCTTCCGCCCAACATGAGATTGCCTAGCCCTCCGAGTTCTCCCCGCGCCGGCCCACGGCCCATGGCTCAGACAAACCCGGCATTACTGCCGTCGTCGGAAGTAGCGCTAGCTCTTGCTGCTATGATGCTTGTGTGTCCTACGTAAAACACTAGGAGCAACAATCTTCTTGGAAAGATCTGGTTGTGTTGACTTGGACGAAACGTAAATATGCATATTATCATGCGAGTTTTGATGCTGTTCTTGGGACGAACGAAGAATGGGACATGTCATCATCTATAATTAAGCAGGGCGGGGACACAAGACCCCAACAACTTGGATGTGGAACTCAAGCCCGTGGTAACAGCCTGCTGGGTTGTGTTCTGATCTTACCTGAGTATAACATCTGACTAAACAATAAACGAATGCATGCTCAGGGAGGGCATGGCGTGTTTGCTGTGTGTGTGTGGCTGCGTGCATGAGCGCGTGCATGCCTGTGTTGAACACTGTTCCTCTGCGTGTGTCTGAGTTCAGCTGCTGACGGTCTGCCCTCGACTTCACGACATGAGCATCTATCACGAAGATCGTCAACTCAATGATAACTAGTAATGAGTTTCGGTCATGTGACATGTGATGATCGTTGTACCAACATCACCGCCAGAAATACATTTGTAGCCGCAATACAAACCCTGCAAAGCATTCGCACTCCTACAAATGCCATGTTAATGTTTCGGCTGGGGCTTGACGAGATGGGTGCATTCTCGACTTGCACTCGCCCCGCAGACTTCGCATGTTCGAGCGCCAGTCGTTGTGAGGGTTTCCGCATGACTCTTTCTCTTTGTCCAGTTCTGACATCTTCGGTGACCTGACGGACCCTATTGGAGGCAGGCTGTGCAAAGAAGTGTGGGGGGTGGGGACATCTGGCGTCAGCAGAGAACCCCCCCATCTGCCACGCTTCCCTCTTTTTCTGGCCTTCCGTCCTCAAAGCAGGGCTGGGCGCGCGCAGCGCTCGCACCGTGTCTCCAGCGGTCTTCCAGCACCACGAGCGGCTCTTCACCGGGCTGCTAGTAGTGGCAGGGGACTCGGAAGTTTGCGAGAAGCTCCCAACTCCTAACTGTCTCTTCACCATCCTACCCTGCACTCTGCAAACTTCAGAAGCTGGCTTCATCTCTCAGCTCTGTAGCAGGGAGGCTATCAAAGAGAAGCCTGTACGAGTTATATCGCGGTACTCACTCAAACAAGATCTAGGGCTTACCCTAAACCCTAAAACCCCTAAACCCTAAACCCAAACCCTAAAACGCTGAAACCCTAGACCCCAGGGTTGCTCAGGCCCGTGATCCTTTCGCCTCGGCCCCCAGGAGCTTGTCCTTGAGGCGGCGTACCTAGGCCTGATGCTACATTGCTCGAGGCGGGAGAGGGTTTACGGGCTTAGGGTTTTAGGGTTTAGGGTTTTAGGGTTTGGGGGTTTAGGGTTTTAGAGTTTTAGGGGTTTAGGGTTTAGGGTTTGGAGCTCGGTGTGAGAAGTAGCCCGTAGGTTTGCTTCAACTCTACACGGCGTGGCCTTACCGCGACATGTTGGTTTTGACTCGGTTGCAGTCTTAGTGGGGAGTGTGTCTTGGCCCAGGCACTCTGTCCAGGAGGTGGCCTCAGCATACCAGGCACCTGCAAGCTGGTGGTGGTGCCGCATGCCAGCTGAAGTGTTAGCTACCATGGGTGGCTTGTGGTTCGGATCTATTGGCTGCTGGCACTGACCATCAACTCATGCATGAACCACAACTGGCCTTCATGTCGTGATCGACTGCAAGAAGTCACCAAATTCATCGGGCCCCACACATGACGAAGTCATTCTTTGAGCCTTGTATTGCCGGTTGGAGTTCGTCTTGGTCTGCGACACTGGTTTCACTGAGAATCTGCCTTTTACTGGATTTTGCGGAAATCGTGCACCATTCAGAGCGGAAACCTGCTGTACATGTGCGAAAAGAGCGCTAGGTGTGAAGCACGTGTTTTGTCCAGAAGGCGCTGCCGTTGCAGACGCTATGGACGTTGCCGCTGCCTCAGACCTGCAAGTGATCTTGAGAGCGCAGAGCCAACAACACATTGAACCCTAAGGCTCTAAGGGCCCCAACTAAGCCCCAAGGGGTTGAGGCTTTGGGGTAACCAACTACCCGTTACCCAGTGTCGGTCTGACTACTTCTGCGATCGGCCATGGGCATGGAAGGTTCTGGGCGCAGCTTGGCTTCCAGCTGGCATACTTGAAGCTCTACTTCTGCAGCTCAACAGCATTCCGGGCTTTAGACTTGGCGGTTTGCACGGTGTAGAGTCTAGAGCTTAGCAGTTTACAGGGTTTAAGGTGTAGTCTCCGCCGGTCTCGCCCTTGTCGATGACTCCTCATAGCTCTGGAAATGCAGGCTTCCCAGCAAGCACGAGCTGCAGACAATACTGAGGTCTCATGAAGTGAGGTGAACTCCGATTGTACTTGAACCACAGCATTGGGCTACAGTACAGAGCCAAAGGTTAGTGGCAACAGCTGTAGTGTCTCGGGCCTGGGGTTCGTGCAGCAACTCCTGGCTGACTACCTTTACAGGTTTGAAGGCTCTATGGACAAGCGGGCAAGCAGCCTGTAAAGCGATCAAGGTGTTAAATGCCTATTATCTTCCCGTCAACCGGAAGTCCTGGCTGAGGTATGGGCTTCTCTGCGGCGAACAAGCACAAGCCGCGCTTATACGCATGGTTCTCCAATGTTGCCCTCACAGGCATCATTGTGCAGGCAAGCTGAACTGGTGTAAAGTTGACCTCGCCGTCATTTCCACTGTAACAGCCTTCCTGCTTTGCAGGTTCTGTTCGCGTACATGAACAAGGCCAACATCGTCGTGTTTGCCTTGCGGCTCTTCTGCTACGTCTATGCAAGGCTGGAGCCGCATTTGTAAAGGTGTGAGCAGTTCCCTTCGTGCCAGTCAGAGGATCCGACGGATGTTGCTCTCTCATTACAGGGTTAGGGTGGGTCCGGTTATGGATACTTTCGACTGCAACATCAGAAGACCAGCGTGCGCAGGTTCATGAAAGGCATGCTGCATCAGCTGCTGTTGCACCCTCCAGCGGAGCTTGATGTGTGACGAACACAAATCCGCCTGACCTGTGTTGGCTCGATCTGGCTGCACCACTGCTTAGTACCTTTGTATGAATGTCCACTTGTAACTTCGTGGAATATTTTCAAGATAATTGATAATAGGCTCTGCTTATCTGCTTCCGACAAATTGAGATTCCATATATTCAATCTATGAATAAGAGATAAGGGAAATTCATATTCCTTTTTATCCTATTTCATAATAGAAATATCTTTCTTTAAAAATTATTATACAATTTTCAACTGTGTCTGAATTTTGTATCTTATTTTGCTAATTGAATTGTTATAAGATGAACTCAACCCAAACAAGAATCGAAAACTATAATATATGGGCTTTTATTGAAAGGGGCGATTAAAGGATTGAAATAGAGGTGATGATTAGAGAGAAATATTTCTTTTTTCTCTTCGATATGAAGTGGGTCTTAATATTGGGTATATTAAATAAGTTCTATTTTGATATATAATAAATTGGCAATATCAAAATATATTATTTGAGCGAAATAATACGGTAAATCGTTTTTATTTTTACTTGTAATTTTCGAATTTCTATACGTAAAATATGATTGGATTAGGTATTATATGGTAATTTTAAGATTATTTAGAAGGTCATATATAGTATATATACGATACCGATATTGAGAGGTCATAATTTCTATTAAATAAATTCTTTTGATTATATTTTTTTTCGTCTGAATTGTAAAGAATAAATCTATATATTTGATATTTATAGATTTCGTTAGGATTATAAGAGCTTTATTCGTTAAATAGATATGCACTGTATATATTCGATTATATTTCGATAATGATGTCTGAACCTTGTTTTTTTTTCTCTCGATGATTTTTGGCGTTTATTTTGAATAAAATTATAGAATGAATCTGTGTTAGTGATTTTTCTATATCTTATTTTAATTATTCTTTATTGGTTAAATTACATATCTATTTTTCATTGGGCGAGGTTTTAATATTTCTAGAATATTGGTCGGTTTAATGCCTAGATCTTTAAATGAAATTTCATATGATGAATTAAAGAGAATATTATAGAATATTTTTAAGGGAATATTCTGTATTCTTGATTTTTTCGATGAAAAGAAATTATTTTAATGAAATTAATATTCAAACGAAAAAATCTGTATATGAAGATAATATTGTCGAATTTTTCATGGAATATTAGAAATTCAAAATTTGAAAATCTCGATAATTATTGAAATTTTTATATATTCTTGATAATTGAATGCATTGATTTATTATAATGTAAGATTCGTTTTAATTAAAAAGAGATTAATTTTAGAAAAATAAATATAAGATATAT